CAGGGCGAGGAGGTGGCCTGTCTCCACTTGCCTCGGCCGTGGGGCGGTGCTGTGTCAGCTCAGGCCTGCTTGCTCCGGGGCCCCAACTGTCCCCAGGGCCTGCTGCTCAGCCACGCGAGGCTGCGACGTGAGGGAAAACCACATTTCGAAATGGAACATTAAGATTTTAATCTCTACTGCTACCTACTTGGCCAGAGCCACAGTCAACATATTCTTTTTTTACTGGAAGAAGAAACAAGTTATTTTCTTTTTTCCTTTTGATTTATTTTTCAGATATTTAAAAATTTATTTTGAAGTAATAGTGACATACAATATCCTATCAGTTTCAGTGGCCAACGTAGTGATTAGACATTTATTTACTATCTCATTTCAGTGAATTTTGTTTACCACTTACTATTCTGAGTTTCAAAATTCTTTTTATGATGTAATGTTTTTGAAACCCACCTGATAGTCATATAACCGAATGAAAGCTATTTCTACAGACAGACTCGTATATGATTTATGCTATCAATCTAGGGCTTTTTCCAAATGTGGATTATCCTAAAGATTTTCTTTGAAAAGATGCAAAAGTGTTGAAGTCACAGAAATAAAAAGACATTTTAACATTCTCATAAGACTGTGCATTGAAGTGAGTGTGGGCACTGGCAAAGAGTCCGAGCAGAAGCTTGCAGGTGAATTGGCACCTTGTAATTTTAAAAATTTTTGAACTTTTTACAATATTCTCTCCTGATAAAGTACTTTGATATGTTTATAAAAACCTATTTACTAACTTTGAAAAAATTTCATATTTTACCATAAGTATATAGATAGGGAAGTTCCAATGGAAGATTATGGAATACAATTTGTAAGTCACCTACTGGTATTAATTTTGACACGTGAATAAATTTTAATTATCAGTTAGTTTATTATACTTTCTTTAAGAACACATAATTATATGCATATATATGTGTATAGAATATATATATGTGTGCGAGTGTATGTGTGTGTGTGTGTGTGTGTGTGTGTATATATATAGAGAGAGAGAGAGAGAGAGAGACAGAGAATGAATTTAAGCAACTGACTCACATGACGGAAGGGGCTTGATGAGCCCAGAATCTGAGGGAGTGGGCTGGCCGGCTAGAGACCCAGGGAACAGTTTCCGTTCAAGTCCACAGGCCATCTTCTCGCAGAATTTCTTCTCCCTCCAAAGAGGTCAGTCTTTGCTGTATTAAGGCCTTCAGCTGACTGAAAGAGGCCCACCCACATTATGGAGGGTAATCTGCTTTACTAAATGTCCACTAATTTAAATGTTAATCTTAACTAAAAACACCCTCCAGAAACACCCCGAGTAACATTTGGCCAAGTATCGGGCCACTGTGGCCCAGCCAAGTTGACACATAACATTAACCATCATGCTCAGCGTGGGAATCACGGGATTTGCCCTGGGTGGCGCTGGGCAGGGGAGACGGGGGAGGCCTGTCCGCCAGAGGCTTTCAAACTTTATTTTTTACATTGGGTCGCACTGTGTCTCACACGTGCCCGTGTGTACGTAACTGAAACAAAATGTGCTTTTCATCCTCTTTTCCTTTCCATTCCGTTGTGTCACACCCTACAGCATCCTGTCCCATCCCATTCTTTATTTAGTTTTTGAAAAATGTTCGTCATTATGCACTAATTGGATTTATTTGCCACTAACGGATCAAAAGCCTGAAATTTACAGACAATACACATATAATTTACTTGTGTGCGCATGCGCGTGTGTGGCAAATCACGGAAGAGGCCGACAGGACAGGGAACAGAGGGAGCACGTTTCAGACCTTGGAATGATCCCTGAACCAAGGGAACGAGGTGACTGTGGCAACGCCAGAAGCCCGGCTGCCCTCCCCCAGTGCTGCACACACCCTTGGGGAGAGCTCCCGTCTTTCGCTGGGCGTGGAGTTAGGGATCCGATCATCTATGAGTAATACCTACGGACCTCAGGGGGCGCTGAGGCCTTCTGATTGCCTGTGTGACTGCAGCTGTTCTCCCTGCCTGTAGATTTCTGTAACACCTTTAGCAGTTCCGGTGGTGTATCTTATACTGTAGAACTGTGTATTTATCTACCCTAATAGGCTGTAACCTACTTTTGGTCAGAGATTATGTCTTAGGTATAATTTTTAGGCCCCATACCAACGAACATAATACCTACACAATGTAATAACTGAAATATGTGTTTTTCCTTATTTTATATAGGTAAAAGTTGTTACTAGTAACCATAATAACATTGACTTGTTAGGAGAGGCTGAATAAGTAAGTACACTTGGTGAATTTCCTAACTATTCCCCCATGTTTTACACATATCAAATATATATTTAAATTCTCACCTAAGATATGTGATATTGTTGCATATATTACAAAAGAGCAACACCAATGCCCAAGTGACTGTGTGGATTCCTGTGGAACATGTTAGAAAGCAAAGACTCCAACTCGGCCATGAAAGTGGAAGTAGGGTCCACAGACCCTCATTCGGCAGTGGAATGTACTGGCCACATTAACGGAAGCTCTAGGGGCTCTGAAAACCACACCTACCTCATCACCTGGTCTGTGGTAACGCTTAGGAGTTCAGCGGAGTCTGAGGTGGCAGTATGTCTACCCCTGAGATGCTAGAACTAACCTGAATCTTTGGTGTAGTCTGAAAGCTCTCAGGAACCCAGACATCAGAGAGGCTCATTACGCAGACTTACTGTGTAATCCTCTCCAAAGTATGGGATTGCAATGTGTGCATGAAAACTGTAGCTCTCCTAAGAGAAAAGGGGGCATTGTGATGGCCATACATGTACTTAAGCAATTCTGGAGTCTTTCTGAGTGAACCTGTTTTAAGCATACCTGCTGATGTCATCATGGCCTCATAAAACTGTGCTTCTCTCTCTCACACACACACACACACACACAACACAGTGCAACTATAAACGAAAAGGATCATGTAAAAGTTGTTTCTGTACAAAGAAAATGTAATTTATTTCAGAAATAGACAATCGCTCAAGTGTATGGGCTGTGTAGGCAGGCGTTCATTGGTGAATTTAGACTGAACAGGAAGTGATGTAAATTATACTTATTACACTGCTGGGAGAGAAATATATTAAATCCAGACAGTGCTCAGACAAAGCACAAGGAACTCATTGTATTGAGGAAAACCGTGCGACTTTGGTGGGAAGACAATGCACTATATGGTATGAAAATCATCAGTGGCCATTTGGGACTAAAGTAATTTTTTTAGGGAGTATAATTTTGTTCTAGCACTGAAATATTTTTTCTGTTTGATAAAGCCCTAAGGTATTCTAATCTTAAACACATTGCTACTTCTGTGCTTTTAACTATTTCATGCTGTTGTTTTGGACTCATTAAACTGGAGAGAATAAGAAACAATGAAGCCATCAGTAGTGAGTAGAAATCACAACTCCAGCAAAATGCCCAAAGAACAGCTGAGGCCTGAGGAAGTTACGGAATTATGTAGCGCCTGTATACTTCCACCTATCCTGGAAGTACCCAGGAGTCAACTGCTAGAAGAAACATCGACAAGTGTTCACCTGGAGAGTGAGACAGTGTTGTAACCTATCTCACGAGACTGTCTCATTAGTCTATCCTTGTGACAAAACCTCTTGTGGCGAATCAAACAAACAAACAAACAAAATAAAGCTGGAGAGCTGGTTTGGCTGCTTGCATGGCCTGAAGAGAACTATCGGAAAATTGGGTCAAGGACATAAATCTGACACTCACTTTGTCATTTCTTTACAAAGTCATATCCAAAGTGAAGTAATTGAATGAATTAGGTTCAGCCCTACCAGTTACTGCCCTGCTTCACCAGAGTGTAGAACAAGAGAGACTTGAATAATTTGTTGGCTTCTACCTTCACAGAATATTTCTAAAATGGCATAAGTAAAGTCTTCACAAATAATTTAGTAAAAATGTACTGATGGTTTATTGCCTTAATTTTCAAACAATCTTACAATCTTTTAGTGCATGATTTCTTTGATCCAGTTGGCGCTGTGACAGCCACAGAGGGAAGCTCTCTCTGGGAGAGAGAAATCACTCATCAGGACCCTCTTCCTAGAGCTGCCTGAAGTCAAAGCCCCAGGGCACTGGTCCTCCTGACCGAGGCGGGAGTAGTGTGCTGGATGGGATGCAGCCCCACAGCCCCGCCCACACAGTGTCCTTGAGTGGCACAGAAAGAGTTCACAGGACTCATGGGATTTGACCAGTGGTAGGCAGAGCCAAAATTAATTTCAGTCTCTGATTTTTAAGAGTTATTAAACTACACTATGGTTTGCTGGGTATGAAATGAAGGATGGTATTTTGATTGGCTTATTTATATTTACTTGTATATACAGAGCCAAAGGTATTTGCTGACAATTTTGTATGATCCTTGTTGCTATGAACTCTCTCTTTCACCTTGACCTCTCCTCCCCTCTTCCATCCTTTTCCCTCCATTTAATCCATAGCCTTTTAGTGGTTGAGACACCAACACTTGAACCAGACTGACGAGGAAAATTGCCTAAACTCAGTGCCTAACGTTTCCATCTGCAACGTAACTCAAGATTTTTGTGATGAATAACGGGGCAAATACAGCGCTTAGAACACTTCCCAGAACCTAGGAAGCACTCAGACATTATTTTAATCATCGTCTATCACGTGTCACCGTTCACTATAACTGTTCGTATTTACTACCCTACTCTTCGTTAGAATGAATTTTTCTAGCAGATCTTCAGTAGAAGAACAATACATAGGAAGATACTTAAACAGATTTTTCAAGTGTTTATTTTAGTAACTATTAGACATTCTACTCCTTAATGGTTATATTTTCAAAAGCCTCTACAATTCAGTTTTCTTTAAAATTTAGAAATCGTCTAGCCTTGGCTTGTGTGTGATGGATTATTCTACATTCAAATGACAACACAGCATCTGAAAAAAATTGTAACCCATGGAAAGTCAATTTTAGACCATGAAAGATGTATTTTTTATATCACTTCATATTTCTGGACCTCTTTTTAGTTTTACATTCATTAAAATATTAAGTTAGGAATCCCTCTTTGGGTGCTGGTTGTTATGAAATAAAAACCCAGTGCATTTTTAAATATAGAGTCTAGTTCTGTGTTTTAAATTACTACACAGAAATGGTAAAACTTTTCATAACAAAGGTTTAATTAGGATGGTTAATAACTGTGATTTCCAAAGTGTCTGAGTCAGCCTTAATAATAATTAGGGAGTTTTGTTCCATACAAAATGCTTTATTTAACCTTCATGCCTTCATTCAGATAATTATACAAATGCATACAGTTAAAGGTTTAAACTCTATTCAGTTCACAGCTCAATTCATAGGAAAGTTGAATACAGAAAAGCAATGCACCAACAGAATATGTCTGAGACACCATTAAAAACGATAACACTTGTTCATTTAAATCTCTGAGAATAGACTGGAATAATCATCCTCTGAGAGAATCTCATTGGGGGTATCCCTTTACATCATCATAGGGCAAAAAAAAATCACCATTTTACAGTAAAAGGAAAAAAGCTCTGAGTATATTTACAATACATACACTATACATAAATACAAGAACAACACTTACATAATCTTAATAAACTTATAACAGGGTCTGCCTACACACTACAGAGTATATAAATGCAGAGGAAACTATTGGGAAATTAGATCTTTAGATAAGCTGGAGAAATAAATTCATTTGTAATGAAAACTCTGAACAGAAAACCAAATGAAGATCTAAGAAACGAACACATTTGCTTGCCAGCATCACTGGGGGTGGGGTTTCCACTTTAACGCGCGGGCCCTCCTCTGGGCACTCGGACTCTCTGGGGCCAGAGACCCAAGAGTCTTTTGTAAAATTACATCCGCCAAGTGGGTCAGATGCAGCACATCTATTCAATTTGCTGTCCAGGGGCTTCAGGCCTGGAATAACAGTTTTGTAACCTAAAGGACATTTTTGTACTTTCACACAGATAGATTTTTATAATCCAATCACCATGTATAATGAGCTAAATGTTAAGGAAAAGGAAAAAGATGCCTGCTTGATTTGGCCAAAGATGATGGTTTTCTTTATTCCCACATATTTTTTTTAAATGCGACTGATTTTTTTTCAAAAGAATATGACATTTGAGTTGACCCCCCTACCCCCCTACACACACACCGAAAGCAATGTCTAGACTACTACTAATTATAACTAAGTCATTTTAAGTGGCAGGTGGGTATCTTAAAGGTGGTCTGTTCTCATCGTTTCACAACACAGAAAGTTCTGAGTACATTCTTCTATGGACAAACATGAATTTGCTGGTTTCTTCTGTTTGAAAAATGAATGTGTTATGATGCACATAATTGCATTAATGATGTAGGATGACATAATACATAAGACGATGTTTTCAAAGCTGGTTTTGTGAGTAGCTATCTCACTTCCACAGAGGTGGTTTGCCATGTGATGCAATGCGTCCCACAGACATGAACAAAACAAGACAGCCACCGCTCCGTGGGGGGATGGTGGCTTTTAAACATGAATTTAAAACACAACAAATTGTGGACAGACAAGTTGATAGGAAAGAGCCTTGAATATAGGCACCAGTGCCCCAGTTCAACAATACCCATCCAATGTAATAAAGTGTGAGGAACAAAATATATACTAAAGCCTGGATGTAATTACAAAACTCTGCTCTGGGAAAACTAAAAGCACAAGTAGGCCAAAAGCATTTTCTATATAATGTTTTATGCTGTATCTTTGGAGCATGAAATTAGCAGAAAGGAAAGATGTTGGTAGGTCTTTAAAATATCTTACTTTGAGATTACTTGGGCACTTTTACTAGAATTTGACCCAAATACTATTACTCTTCTATGCGCCCTCATTTCTCAACAACAAAAAAATCAATCTCTGTAAAAGTCTCGGTAAGCCTGCTTTGGAAAAGCAAGATAGAATAATTCATACGAAGAGCCAGTGATTCTTGCTTTACACAAAGAGCAGACTCTCTTGTCTCAAATATTCTGAATTTCTAGAGATGGAGTCTAGAATGAAAAAGGTACTGATGAGAGTATTTCCACTATTCATCTCTTTTCATCTCACTGAAAGTTGTGGTTTTGTTGTTGAGAAATTATTGCTTGTGAAACCCAATTAACTGAGAAGAGAAACCTTCCCGAAGTGGGCTGTGTATGCGGAACCCTGGCTTTCAGCACAGAAGGGAATTTGTTTATGCGGGCTGATCTCTTCCCTCAGCCAAGTAACAGGGAGAAAGATCATAATTCAGGAGACTCATTTTCAGAAAAAGAAACACCATGAGAAATGCCATTCTCTTAATGTTTTCTAAGTCCATTAGTACTTCTATGAATCAATACTGTCAGAGACCTGGTTCTACACAGAAAAGGAGGAGGGCATTTCATCTCTCTAATGTTGGCCGGCTTCTCACCAAAAATTCAATTAAACTAACAATACTATAAACAAATTATTTATAAGATTATTTAAAACAGTCCAAGGCGGTGCCGTTAGGTGGGAAATCTGAAAAGGACTGATCTGTTATCTCTCCTTGCTCATCGCCTGAGTGTTGGCGACTGCCACCCCATTAACAATGGCCAAGGATGGGCTCTGTTAATAACAACCAGCTCTGTGGAGGTCAAAGTTTCAGATGCACCTTCAGCAGAGTCTGGCAGGGCTACACAGGTGGAAAGGCTTTCAGTACGCCTAAAGAGATACATAGAATCATAAAAACCCACTCCGGCTAAAATGCTATGAAATAGGGAAGAGTTCTGATGATCTGGATCTTCAGGCCACACATTTAGGAGGACAGTGGTGTGAGGACAGGGACAAGTTCAGGGAGACACCTGCTTATTGTAAGTCCCTTGTAGTGACCCTTCATGTGTGAGTTTTGAGGAGAAGACAGATTTCAAATCCTCTGGACCACTGTCCAATCACGTGCTCTATCAGGTCCCTGTTTCTTACTGGGAAAATGTGATGACTACGCTTCCACAACAGAAACTACTGAAGAGTCAGATGGGGAAAGCTGGCTGCTGGGAGCACATGTGCAGCGTGGGAAGAACACGGGCTTCAGAGGCAGCGACAGGTAGCCTCGCACCCCCACCTCCCTGTCGGAGGACAACTCAGCCACTCCCTCTGCGCCTCAGTCTCCCAGCCGTAACGTGTAGAACTGTCGTGTCGTACACCTGAGAGGTAATGTGTCTAATAATCACCCAGTACAGTGCTTGGCACATCGCAAGCATTTGATACACAGCCATTATTTGATGGCTTGCTAAATTTTGACCTTTCAGGTTCCTTGAGTACTTCCTGACAGCTCCCAGAAAGCAGCCCAGTCAGGAGACTTGACTCAGCGAGGGTAAGGAACCCAGCAGCTTTCCTTTGACACTTAGTCGGCTCTTTCACACCCCGTCCTGGCTCATTTCCTTCTCCTTCTCCCTTCTGAAACCTGGAGGAGGGAAGGCCAGATGGCTTTCTCGGCCTGGGGTCTGGTTCTAGAGAACACTGTCCACCCTGGTTGTCCCCACTGTCTAAAGCCCGAGTGTTTAATTACCATTATACTTGCTCAATTACTCTGACCAAATGTTTGGCTCTGAAGGAGTATAATTTTGCCGAGAGCCCTCAGTAGCTTGTTTGGGTGGATCTGTGCTGAGATGGCAGGGCTGGAGAGTTTCAGGGCTCTTGTCTATCCATAAAATCTTGTCGTATATTTCTATTCATGACTCCAATTTCAGCAGTAAATAATTATAGGAAAAGGTTGTCAGGTTCTAAATGTGTATCTGGAAATTTCCAGGACTAACTGCAAACTTTGGTTAAAGGCTGGCTTACTAAATGTCAGTTACACTCCTGTAGACCTTTTAGGGATAAACGATTGTGTCGATGTTCATTCCAAAATGGCTCCTGGATGAAAACAGAAAATATCAGGGACACGGGGAAACAAAGATGGATTCATGCATTTGATATTGGTGGGGAAAATAAAGTAAGACAAGCAAATGTTTCTAGTGTTTTACTCTAAACACATTGTCTTTTGTTAACTAAGCAAAACTTTTTGAGGCCTCCTCAGTGCTTCCTAAGTCTGCGGCAAATCACAGTGAAGTTTTTATCTCAAAATTTTAACTGCCATATGCCCTAGTGTATGTTGAAGGCAACTTTAATATTCAGATTGGCATTCTTACATTCTGTATGTAAGATTAAATTAATAAATGCTCACGTAAACAAGATGGGGCATACTTCAAAAGCCCCAAGAGTGTTTTGTGGGTGTGTGAACAGATCCAATTTACTATGTGCATATGCACACGTGTTCCCAAATGTAGAGGAAAAACCCAGTCCGAAGAGGAATTATTGCTGTGTAAAGTTTAGGGATAGCTCATTGGTCATAATGTTCACTGACAGGCACTTTCAGCTTTCAATTCATTTCTGGAAATGGGCATTAGCTTATTACTATTGCCAGTATAGATTCCTTTAAACACGTGGCCGTATCCATAACACTTAATCTTGTCAACACTTAGCTACTCCTAAAAGTACTCCCCCTGGAATTAAACATGAATAAACACTGTACAGGTTTTTTTTGTTGTTCGTTTTGTTTTGTTTTGTTTTTCATCAAGAACTACTTGGCTGAGGAGGAAGATAACTGAGGAAAGGGAACAATTGCTCGATGCTTCTCTTTAGCACAAGTAAAATCCTGTGCAGCTGTTTCCCCCTTTTCAGGTAAAGACATTTTGAGTTTGGAATCAGCTGACTGCAACTTAAAATGACTTCACTGTGTTTTAAACCACCCTGGCTAACTTGAGACAAGTGGCCACTCCGTTCCACCAGCGCACGACGGCTGTGCTGTGGGACAGTGGGAGCGGGTTCCGTGGCGACACCACTGACTGTGTGTGAGACATACAAGGCATATCTGAACAGGTTTTCTTTTTTTATTGTGATGAAAACTAGAAGCTCTTTTCCCCGACATACTTCATCAAACTATTTACAACCTCTGAAAAATTTGTGAGTTTGAAAATACTTTTTCCATTATCACATAGGTTACGAATACAATAAAATAGCTTCACTCGATTTTTTTTTAAAGATGCAGTATCCTCAATTTCATTTTCTTATGAAAATCTGAATTTCTATCGCAATTGCACAGCATTTAGCATATTTAAAGTACCAATGGACATGGGTTGCTAAACAGACATTACTCTATAATGAACCTGTGAAAATATAGCATTTAAAATCTTTATGTACACTTCTTAACTATAAAATGCAGGCAAAGTCATATATAGCATTATAAGCTGATTCCCTAATAAGGTAAATAACTTACATTTGTAGACAGCATGGATTATTACAAATTCATTCTTTTAAAAAAAGGTGGTTGTTGATATTCAGGAGCCCCCTGGCTGCTGCATATACAGGTGTGCGTACAGGTGAGCATGTACTGGCGGTGCCCGGGATGGTCAGTAGGCGGCAGTGTAGGGATAAGTAGAAATGTAATATGGAAGACACCACTTACAGAACCTCATTTTCAAACAAAACCAAATCAAAGTGAAAGATTTTTGTAATGAGATACACTACCTCAGAAAAACTGAAGGAAGAGAGCTGGTCAATGAGGTTGGAGGATACATTTACTTCCTAAATCTACAGGCATTAGATCAGTAAAAAGCAAAATCTGAGACTGGATTATGGACTATGAGTATTAAGGCTTCCTGGGCCTATTTATGATTCGTAAGAGTTACCTCATGTTCGGTCCTTTATATGAAGGCTATAACTCAATATATCATGGATGCTGGTATTCTTAACACTGCTGAAATTCTGTCAATCCTTACTATAAATGTTAAGACACCTTTATAACAACATTATGGCTACATTTCTAAGCAGTCATAACAACATAACAAAGGCGTATTAATACATTTGAAGGCCTCACCTCTCCGGCTTTATTCAACTGCAGCTTTGGTAAGTATAATAAATAAAGTACAGAATAAGGAATACTACACCTTTATCCATATACATGTTATTATTCTAATGAACTGATTTCAAAGTGTGGGATTACACTTATGTTGAAAACACAAATGGCAATTTGAAGTTAAAAAAAGTTGTATAAAAATGACCACAAGCTTTGCGTGAGCTATTCAAATTTCAACCATTAAGGGGATGGCCTTTCTAACCTGCAACTGGCACTGTAAACATGGTGGCTTTTTGTAAGATTTTCTCCCCTTGAAAATCCTCTTCCTATTGTCCACTTCAACTTTAAAGTGAAAAAAGTGCTCTTCCCCCCCCAATGTGGTTTGTGTTACTGTTATTCAACTATTTTTTTTAATAAATGTCCTATAGTGTTCTGCAGAAGTGACGCCAGGCAGCAGTATGACCTTCACGGTGAAGCCATTAGGAATTTCAGAACACAAGACAAGTTATCAAGCGGGCTTCTCCGAATCCACACACAATTGACAGGATGGGGCTGGAGGATGATGCGAAAGTGCGAATTTTTTTCTAACACCTTCAGATTGGGGAATCTATTTAAACCTTAAAGCCTGAACCTTATAACTTTGCAGATAATATTAACCCCCTTGAACTCACATCTCCACAATGCAAAGAGATAGGCTTACTGCAGCTTCTCAAGCCATTGCGCCACATGGGTGGAAGTTCCCAAACATGCACATGTCCTTCTGCAAAGTGACTGAACAGCTGCAACTTTAAAACCGAAGAATGCTGCTAGTTAGGGAACTTCTGATGAGTCCCCTGGATTCTACTACTTTGCTGTTGTTCATCATCTACTGTGCTTTTGAAAAAGAGGCTACAGTGGACAGAAGACAAAACAGAGGAGGCTTTTCTATGCCTAAAGATATTCCCACTTAAGAATTCCGTTCTTCCTCTCCCAAACTACTTTCCTTTCCATGGGAAATCATCTGTAGAAAACTTAACAAAGAGCATTTGCTATGTCCCGAGACAAGCCCCAAGTAAGTTTCAGTCCTGGGGATAGACCAGCCACTCATTCACTCCTTGTGCTTGGGTCCCGCCGTAGAAGAACGGACAAGTCAAAGGGGGAACACTGACGGGTTTTCTCAGTCAACGTACTGTCTCAGCCTGGTTTCCACTTTCAGAGGATGAGGAAGAAAAACTCACTTTCCTGAATCTTTCCCATATTATTAGAGAGGAGCAGCTCATGTAGTTCGGTGCTAAATTTAAATCAAGCTGTCACTCAGGAAGCTCCCACTGCCTGTCAGTTCTATGAATTCTAGAAACCATTTCTACCTGTAACACTCTCAAGACATCTCTCAGCACAGAACAGGATTGGCTCCTCTCATGAGCAGACAGAATTAAATCAAGTCTACACTTCACCTGAGCGATGCACCTACTGCCTGCCAACCAGGTTTTGGGGCTGGTGAAGAGAGTTCCCTGACTGTGTGCACCAGTCTGTTCTGTGCTGCTGACCAATAACCATGACCAATGCTGGCGTGCGTCAAGAAACCATTTTTTTCATTCCCGATGGTCACAGGCCAGGAGAAGAGGAGTTACATACAGTACAGATAAAAAAACTTTCCAGTTGGTAAAAAAAAAAAAAAATCCCAGTGCTTGGTGGGTAGTAGATTGTGTAGCTAAAGAAGCTATTTATCAATCGAATTGCAGCCCTTGTTGGAGAAAAAAATTGCTGATGAATTTTTCAGACCTGGCAGAAAATGCAGAACACATATTTCTGAAGACAGAATTTGACCTGAAAATCATTATGCTGTTGCTTGAATGATTAAAAAAAATTTCTTTTAATACCATCCAACAGAAATTGTCTTTGTTTCAAGGTTTATAGTTCTTGCTTCATCAGAATAAGATTATCTGAATTAGAAGATGATTCTAAAAAGGATAATTCTGCAACTGTAAATTATTTCATAATATTCAAACATTTAAAACTGAGCTAGTAATATTGTGAGGTTAATTTGTGCGATTCCCAAAATCAAGTGTTTGTAATTAAAGTATACTGCAAAGGTCTAGCTATATGCTGGTAACATTTATATCTAAGCTATAAAAAATCTTAACAACAATAACTAAAAACCTCACCAAGCCCCTTAGCCACATAAAGCTGAAAAAACAGCTTTTAGTGGGGAAAATAATAAGATAATTTTTCTGAGAGAATGCTTGTTGGTGATGTATTGCTTTGTTTACTATATAATTTGCTAACTGCCAAAAAGGCTCCTATTTTTCGGGGGTTGATGGGACTGCAATTTCCTCTCACCCTCAGCCTAGGATGAGTGGGCTCCACATGCCTGCAGAGGCCGACGCAGAACCCCTGAGCCCTGGTGTGGCTGAGAAAGTGGAATCTGTGTAGAAGAACCTGCTGGAGAGCCACTGACCCTTGGCTCTCCAAGGGAGGAAACTAGCACCGTGTCAGGCTTTCCTCGGGGAGTGCTCCCTCTCCACTGCCTCGCTTCCAAGGAGGGCTGACCCATTAACCTGTGAGTTAATTCCCTGCCCTGCCTCCCTGGCCTTTCCAGTCGCCAAATAACCGTTTTCAAACAAGCAAAGGGGAGCATAATCTTTAATTGTGGTAGTCGACCAAGCAGGGCAACAAACAGCAGAAAGATTACCTCAGTGCTGGAAATGTAACCAAGACATCTAAAATGTTGGGGTGTTTCTTACAATCCCTTTAGTAAGGATGAAAATTGGTAACGTGAGTCCTCAGTGAAGTTATTGTAGGAAGGTCCTTTTATTCATTATTGCTTTTCTCCTCAAGAGGCGCATTATTTCCATCTCTGCTTTGTCTGATTTTTCATGTTCACTGACTTTGCCTGGGCAGCCCCACCTCTTCTTCCCTTGGTGCCAGTGTGTCTAAGAAAGTTTTCTTTCCCCCCTGATTCCTTGTAATCAAATACTAGGGCCAGGAAGAGATGATGCCTAGGTGACAGAACACTGCAATTTGAAGTGGGGCAGTAGTTTTTTTAGACAGGCTCTTCCTATTCAACTACAGGACAGCTCCGTGCCGGTCCGTGCCAGGGCGGACACCGGGGCTGGACTCCCAGCGAAGTGTCGCTGCCCCTCCGCTCGGACAGATGAACAAAACAGAATCAAAACAAAACAGAAACAATCAACAACAAACAAATGAAAGGTTCAATGTCGGGTTTCTTCCGGGCATGGCATAGTGACAAGTCGCGGGCGATATCTAGCTGCGGCCACTGCTATTGCGAAGGGCTGCCCAGGTGCCCCTTCCCTTCAGGTCACGGAACCTCTCCAACACCTTCTTCTTGCCTACGTTCATGCTGCTTGCTGGTAACAGACTGGAGGTGCATTCTGTCTTACTCAGATGGGAACTAAAATTTCTGTAAAAAGGGACTCGGGGGTGGGACGATGGGAGAATAATCCCCATTTACAAGGTCTCGCTCTAGCCATCAATTTGCGGTAGGTGACCTTTAAAGTATCAATAACAAAATGTCTGACAGCTCAGAAAATGTACAAGCTACAAACATCTTTAAATGGCAGAGTACACAGCACGGGATACTATGCCTGTCTCCTCGGCATTCGTGCCACCGATCTCCCAGGCCAGCGTGAGGCCGATGCTCGTGGAGTCGCGATGGGGTTTACCTTCAGACTGTAAGGAGAAGTGTTCCTTCTGTTTCCTGCTCTGGTTTCAGACATCGTGGGATGGTGATGCCCTTTTGTGTTAACACTGTGAAGGGGATTCAGCCCTGCTGAACTGGGTGCCGCTCCGAGATCCAGCTCTCTCGCTCAGCTGGACGGGCAGCATTCCTCACACCAGCATATGCCTCCGGCGGTGCAGTGCCAAGTGGTCTGACCGAGAGAAGCTGCGATCACAGTCCGCGCACTTGAATGGCTTCACTCCCGTGTGTTTGCGGTAATGCCTCGTCAGTTCATCCGAACGCGCGAACTTCCAGGTGCAGCCCTCCCAGGTGCACTTGTAGGGTTTCTCCCCTGGAAGAGACAAAGGGACACACGCTTTGGTGCTCCATCTCATTTCTGTAATAACCAAGCCAGGACTCTATACTGGGAAGTGGCTGTTTTCAATGGGCTTTCCATTTGGTAACTCTTGGTCAGGAAGCCTAACCATCCCATCAGCACGTTTGGGGTGACAGAGAGGGGGCTTCAATCTCATCTCTCCTGCTGAGACATCTGGCAACTTAGTTAACACTTGCATCCTCAATTCCAGGTATATTACTCTGCAGTCAAAGTATCAAAAGGCACAGACCCGATGGCTCCTGGATATAACTACCTCTAGTAGCCTACAATGGGGTAGGAGAGCTCTATTCAGGCTGATTTGGTTCTGAGGCAGAAACTAATTAATTAATGATGTTTGGTTTCAGTACTCCAAACGGGGATCACTGAGATGGTTAAGGCTATTTTAGGGTGCAATGCCCATTTATCAGTCACTGCAAATATACGCACAATTTCATTAAAATGTAAAGCACTCCACTCCCCCCAAGAAATGAGGTATTAAGTACATATTATTTGTAAACATCTACTTTTTGCCCATCTATTGGGAAGAAATCCAAGCTATCCTAATGGTGTAAAGTTTAAGCACCTTTTCCAGCGACAGGAATTAGGGCGAGCCCTGAGGAATCAATCGCTGGGTTGGTTCTAGGGGAGAAACTCGGAGTAAAAGGCAGTCTGAAGAAGTATGTAACTTGACCAGGTCCCTCAGTTGACTTGTAAGGACAGTAAAATATGCCCAGGCTCTGCCGGGAAAAGATACGCTACCCATTGTCCAAATGAGCTCCCGGGGGAGCGGGACAATAGCTGACCCAGGCGAGCTTTTTCCTGGCTCTCATTCAGAATGGGGGCCCTGTCCCCAGGCAACCCCGCAAACACTATCTCTCCTCCACCCCTTCCACCCGACAGTCAACAACGCGCTGCTTGGCCACACGTGGCACCTGGTGAAAAGGGCCTGAGAAGGGAAGAGAGCTGTTTGTTGATTTGTACTATAGAGCTGCAGACTGTATATTGTTAACCCCACTTGACAGATGAGAAAACTGAGGCTCAGTGTAGTAAAGTAACTTGCCCAAGACCAGGAAAAAGGAGGTGTTTGGCTCCAAATCTAGTGCTTTTCACTAGGCGACCGCTGAAGGGGTAATTCTCTCATCTAAACTTTGTCACACCTTCGGACAGTTAGCGCTACTTTCTTAGGTACTCCCAAATTATTCACTTCCTATTTCCATTAAATCACCAATCACGATACAGCTTTTCTTCAGATGTCTTTCTCCTCTACCAGTTTCTGAATACCTGGAGGTCAAAGAGCAGGTCTCCTCTATTTAGTGCCTGCAGAGGCTAGAGTAAGTGCCAAGCAAGTGCTTGAGTGAGTTACTAAAACTGGAACACACACACACACACACACACACACACACACGTACGGGAAACTAGTAAGCTCTGAAGTGAGATGTGCAAGTAATGCCTACGTATGTACGAACCCTAGACCAAACTGGACCCAACATTTTTCATGTAACTGTTAAACAAATGCTAATTGTAGCAAATGGCCCTTTCAGAAGTGAGTGAATCGTTCAGACCAATGAAATGTAGAAATGTTGATGTATTTAATTGGGGCCAACTGACAGCTCTAGCTTACTCAGAAGCCTACTGACTGAATGAACCCCAGACTTCAGCTCCTGACTCCCTCTGGATGTCCTGACAAAAACCTTTTGCAGGTGTCTATTGGCCAGAATTAGAAAAATGAAAACCAGCAAAATCCCTAACTTAAAAAGATTGGGAGGGCAGGACTACTTTGTAGTGTATCAATAGCAAATGTTGACATGCTTCTATTTACATGTGATCCCTTTATGTTTTTGAACTTATATCACGAACATGGGTTCTCATAAGTTCACCTTGATATAGACGATGTTTTCATCTTTGGGGCACTGAGCTCGGCAGCGACTCTGTCACCAACAGGCATCTCCTGGCTGTCTCCTCTGTTACTGTGGAAGCAGCTACAGAGAGTAAAGGCCTAAGAACAGAGGGTTTTCTTAATTGGAGAAAGGCATTTCTCGGTTGTGTGGTGGGAGGGTGGGTGTGTCTAGTGTGGGAAGGAAGTGTCACATGAGCATGACTGGGGTCACACCAGCTGCTGGACCCTCACCTGACCATTCCAGGTCAAGTGCGAGGAAGAGGCTCGGTAACTGAGATGGGCCTGGAAGGTAAGGAAGGGCAAAGAGAAGGAGACAAGAGCTTCCTGTTACATCTCAAGAAGGGCCTTAGAGGCTGGTATGGACTGCCATAGGGACACTTTACTGCCTCGGGTGCTCTATGGACGTCCTTGTATACCTAATTAGGCACTTAACATTCTCTAACTTCTTCCTCAAAAGTTACAGCAGTCTACTTTTGTTTTCCTTGTTTAATAATGATATATATGTCCTTTCCACTTGAAAATCTACCGTGGCTCAGGGCAAATCCAGTCTGTGGCTTGTTTTATTATTCAACATGCAAACCAAGAATGATCTTTTAAATTTTTAAATGGTTAAAAAAAAAGATCGAAAGAGGACTATTTTGTGGCATAGTAAAATGATATGAATTCAAATTTCAGCATCCATTAATTAGTTTTTTAAAAAAGATTTTTATTTATTTATTTTTAGAGAGAGGGAAAAAGAAAGAAAGGGAGGGAAACATCAGTGTGTGGTTGCCTCTCACATGGCCCCCAGTGGGGACCTGGCCCGCAACCCAGGCATGTGCCCTGACTGGGAATCAAAGCAGCGACCCTTTGGTTTGCAGGCTGGCACTCAATCTATTGAGCTACACCAGCCAGGGCATAGTTTTTATTGCAACACAGCCACTTTAATTTATTTACAGATTGTTGATAGCAGTTTTCCAGTGGTGGTAGAATTGAGAGCTGCCATAGAGAATACACAGCCTGGAATGCCTACAATATTTTCTGACATCTTATAGACACTCTGCTGATCCTCTGCATTTTGTAGACACACTGTTAGGTTGGGGTGGGGACGTGAGGGGATATTTTGGCTACAGAATGATCACTTATTCTCAACCTAGGACCTCAGTTAAAATTCTAACAGTCTTCTCAGAAATAAAACACACACTATTTCACATCAAATACTTTGAAATGAGAGTTCTTGGCACCAGAAAGTGAGTGGTTCTTTGAGGAGGCTCACCCAATTCAATCTGAATTTTAAAAATATTCTCAGGATCTTTTCTGATCCATAAAAAGTGAAGGTCTTCCCTATGAGAGTGAGGGTCAGGATGGAGGGGGGTCCGGAATACAACTATGTTACAACAGTCCCTGTAAACGATGACAAGTAACTGTTCCACTGAGTCTGGGAGGGGGATAGACACACAGAGGGAAGAATCAGAAAGTAGGAGCTTAGGTGTTTGGCAATGTTTCTAAGATGGATATTTTAAAGGGAAGGAGCCCGGAAAGCAACAAGTCAGGGCAATGGTTTCTGCAAGCACACAAATGTGGACTGAGGAAACTTGGTGGAAAGTCTGCAATGTGTTCTGCGAAGTGGAATCGAGTGCAGTAAACCATCATGAAAGATGAAGGTGGCAAAATGGGTGAAGGTGGTCAAAGGTACAAGCCCCTCCTTATACGTCATGGGGATGTATATATGGCGTGGTAGGAATATAGTTAATAAGGATGCTGTCCTGTATATTTGCAAGTTGCTGAGAGATCTTAAAAGTTCTTATCATAAAAAAATATTTGTATTTATGTGTGTTGGTGGATGTCAACTACACTTATTGTAGTGATCGTTTTGTAAGCTGGTCATTTTGTAACATGCAAATATCAAATCATTATGTTGCACACCTGAAACTAAGATGCTATACGTTAAATGTCTCCATTTAGAAAAAGAAAAGGGAATGGACCTCAAAAATACAAGAGGCATATGCTTTCTTCCTCTTGAAAAAAACCAAGAAAATAACACATAAGTTTGTAAAGTTATTAGGGGGGTTAAGAGGGGAGGAGGGAGAAAGTATACTGAAAAGTAATAAACTTAATTATCTAGGTGATAAATGAGTTTTCCTTGAACATTTTCTTATAAAAATGTATACCTTCTTTTTAATACCCCAAAAGTCATGCATAATATTCCTTGCCCCCATTGCCTCCTTCACAAAACTCAGTATTATGGGTGTGACATATTATGAACTATGTCTCCAGATTTCAAAAGAAAGAAAGAAAAGAAAAAAGAAGCAAGAGTTTTGTAGAAAACACTATCTTCAAATCCCTCAAGTCAGAGGCTGAGCTATGGGGACCGGGGAGAGGGGAGGGCTACTCTGAGAAGACAGAGAGCTGGCTCCTGTCCCTGCTAGAGAGAGACCTAAGTTTTGAGGACACCCGCCCAGTGCCTGGCACTTCATTAAAAAATAAACAAACGGCGCATGCTCTCTTTGAACTTTAAAGTCAAGATTTAAAAATAGACACAAGAGCAAATTTAGTGGCTACTACATGGTATTAAACAGCCTATTTTATGCTTGTGCTTTGAAACAATTAAAAGGGTATAATCTTATAAACAAATTAAGATAACCTAAACTAACTTTGTGACATGAATGAAAACTAATTAAAATGATAAATAACTTTGTAAGATATATTGTAGTGTGCATAAATGATCCCTGAAGAACATAATGAAAGAACAGAGTTCTAACTTCTTTCCTTTAAAATCTTGCTAGAAAATAGAAAGCTAAGTTTAATGTTAAAAAGTCAGTGAAAAACACAGAATGGCAGGTAGGTTTCCCATGAAAATCCTCCCGTGGCAACAGCTGCTTGGACAATGAAAGGAGCAGGCATCTCCCGGGGCCCACACTTTTGCTGCTCACGGCTGCTCTGCGTCTGCCTGAGGGATGGTGATAGCAAACGTGCTTCCTCGTAATTTTTTCAAGAAGAGTGAGCTGTCCTTAAATCCATTTGAGCTAGAATCCTGCAGATGTATTATTCAAAACTGTTTTCCCTAGAAATAAGCTAAAAATGAAAACAGCCCGCCCTC